TCATCACCTCTGAGCTCCTCCTCTAGACCATAATCTGAAAAAAATATTGCTTGTAGGGGGTGAGCACTAAGCTCTGTAGGAAAATCCTCCCAAACTCGAACAAGGTTTTGAAAGCATATAAAACAGTCTGTCTCATTTTACAAATATCATATATAGCTTTTGAAGGAAAACAGAGAAATTTCAATGGATCTCAAGTTTACACAATAGCAATAATTAAATGAAAAGTAAAATCAATTCCCAAAAATAACAATTCCAAGATAATCATATCCAAAAAATAACGCAATAAATAATAACCACAATGTATCTTATGTCTGATGTAAGATAATTGCATGAATAAACACATAAAGAATATCCTGGCCCATACACACAAAAATACTCGCAAGGATATCAAACTTTGGGAAGGGCGCCTATCGATGCATTGTCTCATACCAATGCACTGGCAATAATGAATTCGACCCAGACATAGTATGCTAATCCTCTGACACGGCACTCCTGAGCTAATAGTGGTTTGGTCCTTGCAAGACACTCTCTCCACTATGAGTGGTAGGAAAAGTTCAAACTCGCACGGAATAAGAACCACACACATCTACCCACTCTACGATACCTGGTCAATGGCCACCCATGGTCATCCAAACACCTCCATGAGATACAATCACCAACAATTCTCAAATCACAAATGCATTCAAAAATCCCAAATTTTCATAATTTGTAATATAATAAAACAATTGAAGAAACTAAGCAAGAGATCCTCATAAATACCATTTGTGGTTCAATATAAAGCACTAAAGTTTTGAAAACAAGAACAAAGGAAAAATCAAGAAAAAAATCTATATTTCTTAAAAGAAACAAGGGTTTTGAGATTATAACGATTTCATGGCTATCAAACCATAACTTCATTCAAAACATGATAATATTTGGAAGAGTATCAAGAAATAATGATTTTATAACATACATCTAAGATTTAGAAGCAAAATATACATAGATATAAACTCTAGCCTCAATGGATAAGAATAGGAAGAAACCCTTACCTTGAATCAAAGTTCCAACCCAAAACCCAAGCTTTAGAGCCTTTCTTCTTCCCTTTTCTTTTTCTCTTTTTCTTCTCATAGGGTTCTAAGAGGTTTGGGGTGAGAGATGTGAGAAAAAATGGAAGAAAATGGCTGAAATCTGTGTTTTAAACACAGCAGTCCCTGAAATTTACTGTTTACATGCTGATTTTTGGGTTTTCTCCAAAATTACGATTTTACCACTAAAAATCTCCAATTTGATCCATATGACTACCCTAAGGTTATCCGACGTTCCGAATTCATTTTTAATGTTATTTTAACCTAAAACCATTTAGTTTTATGATGTATCTCAAAACTAAAGTAAATTTACACTCGAAACACCAAAATAACTATTTTTTTCCTCCGAACCGTTATATGTGCTAAACGGCTATTCCAAGTTTTTTGGATTTCTCAGGTTCAATGATAATATTATTTTGACCTAAAAAATTAATATTTTACTTAGTTACCCTTATCAACCTTAAACACCTTCAAAAATTAAATTTCACAATTAATTTGCCTCCCTAGTATTTACTCCTACTATTACAATCTATAGGGTTCATACATACCTCATCACCTATATTAGCATTTCAAAAATAATTACTTGCTATATAAAGATAAGAGTGTGGGGGTTTAAAGTCTCCATACATTCTTGTCTTCATTGTGGGTCCCTTTTGATGACTAAATTGTATGCTTGCTATGATTCTACTATGGCCCAATGTTGGAGTCTTCTAGCAAGAGGAAAACTGGAGTCTCCTTAATTCACAAAAAAACTGCTCTGTTTAATGCTGCTGTTGCAGTATCCTACATACTGTGGCCCAACCTGCTAAAAGACGTGACAGTGGGAATGAAATTAGCATAAAAGAGCCTATATCCATAGCTGAAGTCTACCTTGCATAAGAAAATCCAGCTGAAAAGTCCAGCAGAAAGAATCCAAGTGAATAGTGACTTGAACAGTGCTAGACTCCCTTGCATAATGACTGTTTAAAGCAGAAAATCCATCTGAAAACTCTAGCTGAAAATCCAGCTGAATAGTAACATGAACAGTGTCGTAAACAGTGCCTGCATGAAACTTCTCTAGCTGATTCCAAAGTCGAACTAAAAGCCTACTATAAGAAATCCAGCTAAAAGAGCCCAACTCAAATAACCAGTCGCAGCATCCCCAACTAAAAGAGAACAGTGATGTGAACAGTGCATTGGACATATCCCTGAAAGTCCTCCATGAAACTTGATTAGCCCAAAACCAACTGGGCCAAGCCCAATAGATCAAGTAGGCCCAAGTCAACTAAAAGATGGCCCAAACCTACTTTGTTAGGCCGACCCAGCTTAGGATCCAAGAAGCCCAGAGAGAAGATAGGAGTACGTGTGAGAAAGAGAATATCGAAATACGCATAAAGATCTAATCCTACCTTAATTGTACTTACCAAAATAGTAGTGACCGTCTTACCATACCTATATAATGTAAACCCTCTCTATATAAAGGGCATGACCTTGAGGCCTCTACACTGTGAAATTTCTACACACTCTACACCTCCCTATACACATTGTTTCTCTCTCCTCACTATTGTAATACTCCTGGAGCATACTCTCCTAGAGACTTTATTCATCAATAAAACATCCCTGACCATCACTGTCATTCCCAAGAGTGGAATAGGTCACCCAAACCGAACCACTATAAATCTTGGTGTTGACTCCATATTTACCATTTTTCCATTGATTAATTATTTACTGCTCATTAATTGTATCTCTTAATATACCTAACTGTTGATCTTGCAGAATAATAATTTTTGCATCATCAAACTCACGTTTGGTTCATAAAGCAGTAGCTGAAAATCCTCCATTTGGTGCCTAAATCCATATGGATTCTTTTGCTTTGGAATTTTGAAAGCTCGCTTGGATTTGGACCTAGTCACTATTGTTGAATTTTCCACGGCTGGGATATTTTTAAACACCAACGCCAAAGCCTCTAGTTCCTCTTCTTTTCTCATCTTCTCAAGCCAAAATCTCCTCCTCACCATTGGAGTAAAGACCCCTTGTGAGCTCGTGAAGAGAAGATTCTTTAACATAGTCATCCTTGGAACAAAATCCCTTTAGCTTTAAGGCTTTGTGAATCTCACTTCTTGACATGCTTGGAATAATATCCCCTTGACTATGAATGTTCTTATGAACTTCTACCATCATTTCTTAAATAATGGACTTTGGCACAACATCCACTGGCAAAGGTTCAAAATCTTGCAAAGAACAAGGACCATAATCTGACAAAACCTGAATCAAGACTCATCGATTCCATCGCCTAAGGCTTCGTCAGAAAAAGTAGAAAATACATTGTCATCCTTCTCACTATTTAAATTAATAAACTTGAACACAATAGCTTCACCATAAGTAATTGATCGTGGCCAAAACTAACGAGATCCTCTCTCCTGTCATCCACATGAGGAACTTCACAATTTTCAATCAATAGAGGTTGAGAAACTTCAGCTTGTACCCTAACCTTAGTAGTATAATTGGGATTTAAAATATTGGGATCATCGCTGGTACACAGCTTTGTACGTTCTTCTTCCACCATGGCCAAAAGTGAATTAGAAACCAATGGATTCTCAAAATCTTGGAATTGTGCACTTACCTTAGATCGAATATCCTCTCCAACATAATTCGCATCATCTTTGCATGAATGATTACCTTTCTCAAGGAGCCAAGGTATAAAATTCTGCTGAGCCTCTTGGTTTGAACTTTCCATATGGGGATTTCGAAATTCCTGGCCTTCATGAATAGGCAAATTATCATTTGCTAATTTGGAGCTAGACTTTCCCTCGTTAACTAGCACAATATTATTTAGTTTCCAAATACCTTTTTTCTTTTGGGCCTTTAATGCAGGCTTTAGTTGATTATTTGTTTGCTTAAGAGTATTCAAGCTTGCCTTATGCTGCTGCCCCGAATCTTGGTCTTGTTGAATATGCTCCCCCTTATCACTCTCCCTTATTGAGTCATTACTTTTGTGTGGATTCTTTCCTTGTGAGACTTTCAAATCTGTTGGAGACTTTCCTTTCAACTCCTTGGAATGAATCTGATTCTTTCCTTGCATGTCTTTTGGAGCAATAAGCAGTTTCCTTTTCCAGCATTCTTCTTCCCCACGCCCTTGCTTCTTGCAAGCTTTGCAGTATCTCTTATTCTTCTCATATACTATTCTTTGCCATCTCGCATCTTCACCGCTAATGTGTAGCCAGATTCTGTTAGGATTCTTGGCTAAGAGATTAACCTCCACACATACTCCAACAATACCAGGTTTAGTCAATGACAGGGTAGCTTGATCATATGCTAGAACTTTCCCGATAGGCTTAACCAGTAACTCCAAGAATGGCTTCTTGAAGAAATTCAATGGGAGGCCTGACAGAGATATCCACATAGGTACTATTGGGGATTCAATCCCAGGAACGAAAGCAGTGAACCACTTTAAAAAACATAAGAGGTAGTCTTCTATCAACATAGCATCCTTTAACCAAGTCATCACGTAATCTTCTTGTAGTTCAAACCTTATCAAGATATGTCTTTGGTCTATAAAACCTACTTCAAAACTCCTTTTGAGGTTCCATTTTCGTCTAATAACCACCTGGATCACACCTAGGGATGGCCTTCCATGGGCACATTTGCCAATCTGTGCATATTGTAGGCCTTCACTTGACTTTTCATCTCCTCCTTTGTAAAAAAATGGCAGGCTCTCCTTCATAGAAAACTATAGGTTTATCAAACTTAAAGGCAGATTCCTCATTTAAACAGGTTTTCGAACTTTGTTTGAATAAGGAGGCATAGGTTTGAGGTTTGTCTGGACTTAAATCTGGTGGCTTTGGGGGGATTTGGTGTTGTGTTGGTGAAGAACTCATGAAAGGAAAAAAAAATTCTAGAGAGAATACAGAGTTTCTCTCTCTTTCAAATTAACACTCATTCAATTTTCTTTTAAAAGGGGTATAACACGAGAACCTCTCAAGGCACCCATCCTAGTACTACTCTCATTCAAGCACACTTAACTGGGAAGTTCTAATGGAAACCAATGCATAAGTGCTGGTATGATCGCACCCTAATTCATCAATTTATCAAATTAATACCAAAGTAACATACAATTTCATCTAATTAATATTCAATTAATCAATTTAACACCAAATTAACAATCAATTTTCATCTAATTAACATTCAATTTTATTTGAGAAACATTTAGTTCATTAAATTAACAATTAAATTCAATAAGTTATCAATAAATTACTCAAATTACCATCAAATTAAAATTGAATTTATCTAATTTGCATTCAAATTCATCCAATTAACACTAAATTAACATCCAAAATTATTTTTAAAAAATTCAATTTATCAATTCAACACCAAATTAATATGTAATTCCATCCAATTAAAATTTAATTTATCAAATTACCACCAAATTAACATTTAATTCATCCTATTAATATTCAATTCATCAAATTAACACTAAATTAACAATCAATTTTATCTAATTAACATTCAATTTTTTCTAATAAGCATTTAATTCATTAAATTATCATTCAAATACAACTAGTTAAAATTAAATTAATCAAACAAACTTTTAAATTCATTCAATTAACTTTCCAAATCAAACATCAAAGATTTAATTTATCAAATTAACACCAATGTAACATACAATTTCATCTAATTAGTATTCAATTCATCAGTTTAACACCAAAGTAACATACAATTTAGTCTAATTAATATTCAATTCATCAAATTAACACCAAATTAACATTCAATTTTATCTAATAAGCATTTAATTCATTAAATTAACATTCAAATCCAACTACTCTACATTAAATTAATCAAATTAACACCAAATAAATATTCAATTCATATAATTTATATTCAAATTAATCAAATTAACACTCATTTAATCAAATTAACATCCAAAATTATTTAATAAATATTCAATTTATCAAATCAACACAAAAGCAACATGTAATTTCATCCAATTAAAATTTAATTTATCAAATTTACACCAAATTAATATTCAATTCATCAAATTAGTACCAAATTAACATTCAATTTTATCTAATTAACATTCAAGTTTTTCTAATAAGTATTTAATTCACTTAATTAACAATCAAATTCAACTAGTTAACATTAAATTAATCAAACAAACTTTCAAATTCATTCAATTAACACTCAATTCATTGAATTAACTTTCCAAATCAAATAATAAACATTCAATTTATCAACTTAACACCAAAGTAACATACAATTTCATCTAATTAATATTCAATTCATCAATTTAACACCAAAATAATATTCAATTTTCATCCAATTAACATTCAATTTTATATAACAAGCATTTAATTCATTAAATTAACATTTAAATTCAACTATTTAACATTAAATTAATCAAATTAATGTCAAATTAACATTCAATTCACCTAATTTATATTAAAATTTATCCAATTAGCACTCAATTAATCAAATTAACCTCCAAAATTATTTAATAAATATTCAATTTATCAAATCAACATCAAAGTAATATGAAATTTTATCTAATTAAAATTTAATTTATCAAATTAATATTCAATTCATCAAATTAACATTCAATTAATTAAATTAATACCAAATTAATATTAAATTTCATCTAATTAAAATTTAATTTTTTCTATTAAGCATTTAATTCATTAAATTAACATTCATATTCAATTAGTTAACATTAAATTAATCAAACAAACTTTCAAGTTCATTCAATTAACACTCAGTTTATTGAATTAACAGTCCAAATCAAACAACAAAAATTCAATTTATCAAATTAATTGTAGTGATCTGAAAAGTAAGGATAAAATTTTCAGTTTTGTCGTTAGGGCACTATTCATGTAGCATTTGCCGGTAGGGCACTACATATGCAGCATTTAGGCATAAAGTTATATTTAGGAGTATAATTTGAGTATGTCATAAAATAAAAACATGCTTAGAATGTTAAATACATCTACTGTACAAATTTGAGCCTAAATGAAAATAATTTAAAAAATTGGACAAAAAAGTTATCCCGGGTGGCCTAGGTGGGACTGGTCAAACCCGCCCACTAGCGAAAATTTATTTTTTTGAAAATTTTTATTTAAAATAATTTTAAGAACTTTGGTTAAAATAAAATGTCGAATTGAGGCGTTTCGGGACGGATTGTAGTGTAATGGGATTCCAGATTCATCAAGGACAAAAGGGTCATTTTACATCTTTGCCCCTCCATTATAAATATAACCCCCTTAGTGTAAAAATATCAATTTTTGGACTGGGAAAGGTCAATACACATTTTTGGAGGAAAAATGAAGAAAAATCCTAGGTTCTTTAAGTTTCAAGCCACCAAAACTCATTCCTAGGCCAAGATTCCTGTAAGACTTCATTTTAATAAGTTGTTCCTCTCAACAAGGGTTATATTCTCACTGATCGGTTCGGCTATAAAGCAAACACAACTCTCTTGGTTTGAGAAAAATTATTTTACGTATGATATTTTGCTAAGTTGGAAATAGATTTAAGTTTTCTTGTCTGCCTATGTGTTGATTGGATGATTTAGGCATTTACTTGATGTTAAAAAATCATTTAGTTGGTAGTTAATTTGAAAATTTAGAATTTGTGGTTTAAGTACTTTTGTATTTTTTTGAGTTTCTTGACAATTTGTTGCTATGGTAAAGGTGTATATTGCTTATGTCTTGGATTATTATTTTTTAGCTTATGTTCATGTAGAAAAACTCTTGTGATTTGAGAGTTATGATTTATTACATGAATTGGTAATTTATGTATTTGTAGTTTCTTTGAGAAATTGTGAAAGTAATGAATATGAAACTTGATCATATGTTTAATCCATTGAATGATGTTTCACCTTCATGTAGATAAGTGTTTGATGAAATGTTTCATAGAATTCACATTGAGAAAAGTTAAGAAATCTTAGAACATAGTGTGGGTTGAGCACTTGGTGCTATGCATTATGAGAGTGTAGATCCTGTGATAAAAAATCCAAAATCTGGCCAATGACAATACTCGCAGGCTGACGGGGGGCAAACCGTGAAGCAAGACATGGGTGACATAGAGTTGCATTAGTGTGTCATGCATATTGACATTGCATAACATTGAGGGATTACGGGGTTGTAGCTTTTAAAATATACACTTGCACATGTCACACCTTAAATTTATTCCTAGCATTAGTACTTTGTTATACTAGCAGTTGAGCTGACCCATTCGTGGGATATCATATAACAGATGAAGCTCTCAATACTTGAACCTTGAGGAAGTTTTAAAGGAAGGAGGGAAAAGGGACTTGAATGGATATTTGACCTTTGGACATATTTTGTATGTTTGGGCATAAGCCCAAATGACTTGTATTTCAATTTAGAAAAGTAATGGATTATAGACCTTGGGTCATTTTAAAGTGTAAGTATGTAAACCCAATTGATATGTAGAATATTTTTATGTAATGACTATCATATGTATATATTGGGACAATTAGATGTGTATGTTGAGAACAATGAATGTATGTTTAATTTACATGGATTGTGGCCACCGAGTGAGGGTGGGTTCTGATATAATAATGTGTATGAAATATTGTGAATATTAGATGAGAAAAAGGCTTAAAAACAAAGGAGATTATATCAAAATTTTATGAAAAATTAAATGACTTGTTAAGTATGTAAAACACCGTTTAAATATGTGGGAAGGATGTCAAAATGGGGGGCTAGGAACCTTTAAGAAATAAGTCAAAAATGGAAGGAAAGTGGCTTAAAAAACTTTGAAAAAATATGATAAATGAATGAGAAACCAATTTATCTAATCTAATGACTTTTCATTTACTTTTTTTCTCCCTTTTCACTCACTCCTCGAGTCTGTGAAAATTTGGGGGGTGACATTAGCACCAAAGTAACATATAATTTTATCTAATTAATATTCAATTTATCAATTTAACACCAAAGTAACATGTTAAAGTGATATCAATTTGCTAATTTTTTGTTAATTAAATACTTTAGAGATAAAATTTTAAAAATTGATACTTTATATATGAAACTAATAAAATATCCATACTTTAGGGATAAAAGTGTATTAACCCATTTTTGAAAATAGGATCGGATGAAATAAAATATTAATTTGATAAATTTAATATTAATTGGATGAAATTAAATGTTAATTTGATAAATTTAATGTTAAATAGTTGAAATTGAATATTAATTTCATTAATTGAATATTTATTAGATAAAATTGAATGTTAACTTATTGAATTTAATGTTAATTTTTTTTTGATTTTATGAATTAAATGGTTATTAGATAAAGTTGCTTGTTAGTTTAGTGTTGATATGATAAATTTAATGTTTTAAACACAAATTGAATAATTTAGGGGCCAAATTGATAAAATTGATACTTTAGGGGTAAAACTGACATAAATTCCATACTTTATGGATAAAAAGTTTGATTATGGGATTATGTAGATATAAATTTGATGAATTTGATGAATTTGAATATAAATTGGATGAAATGAATGCCAATTTGATGAATTAGATATTAATTTGATGAAATTGAATGTCAATTTGATAAATCTTAATGTTAACTAAGTGAATTTAAATGTTAATTTGATAAATTGAATGTTTATAAGATGAAATTGAATGTTGATTTGGTATTAATTTGATGGATTGAATAATTAGTTGGATAAATTTGCATGTTAATTTAGTGTTGATTTGAATTTTTTTTTTTTGAATGTTAATTGGATGAATATGAATATAAATTAAATGAACAAAATGTTAATTTGATGAATTGGGTGTTGATTGGATGATATTAAATGTTAATTTGATGAATTTAATATTAGTTTACTGAACTTTAATTTAATTTGATGAATTGAATGTGTTAATGTGATGTCAATTTGTTAATTGCTTGTTAATTAAATACTGTAGAGATAAAACTGATAAAATTGACACTTTAGATATGAAACTATTATGTTACAAAAACTTGAATAGAGGTACAACATAGAGTTATTTAATAGAGTTACTCAAAATATAATTCAATAAAATTTCATAATTTATAATTAAATTATACAGATTACCC